TATAATATATGTAAACTTTCTAGAGAGCTGCTTATAAAACGAGAATACTTGTTTATTTTTTTTGACCTGAGAGTAACGGCTATCTACTTGGAAAATCACCGCCTCTGACCTAACAAATCCAAACCTGGTGCTGGCAAAAGTGGGCCATACTTCTCAAAACACAAAGACCTTTTCGAAAACGAACTTGAAAAAAATCATAAAAACGTACTTTCTCCATCTCTCTATCATGACGAGGAAGTCGAACCTAATAATGTCAACTAAAAAAGTACATTATAAACTCTATTTGATCTACATAAGCGAACTACATTGCTTCAGCAGAGTTGGAAGCTCTACTTTCATCGAGCTTTTTTCTCTAATACACACTGGTTGCACTATTATTTTAGAAAAGAAAATTGTCTGAAAGAATATAAACCGCAAACCAAGAAATCTCTAGCTTCTTCTCCTTGCTACACGGCTAGTTTGACCTACAAAAAAACAGTTCACTTATTCCACACTTTCTAAGATTCGTTTGTGATTTGTCTAATATGGGCAAATATCGGCTCTATTTGTTTAGTCGGCGCTATTTCTACATTAAGCCTACATTGATGTAAATTAATATTTTTATTTATAATTATAATAATAATATGCAATTCAAGCAACTCTTCCGTTCATCCTTTTTTCGTGACAGTTATACCGTTTCATCGATTATGAATTTGCTAAATGTTTACTACAACAATTGCCGGCGGCCAATTACGCATACTCTAAAATAGTCGCTGGCATCTGTTTGGCAATTGTGAAAATATGGTCAAGGAAAATATGGCTACGTTTTAGTTTTGTTATTCAATTTCTTGAAAAGAAATCTAATTCGGTAACTCAAGTCATGGAAGCTTTTAGGCCTGGTAACCTTCCAGTGAGCGAACTGTTGGCGTTTCAATAGAAGCATTTGGTATTCGTTGCCCTGAAACAATATTGAAAATAGGTCATCAATATACATACAAAATACAAAAAGACTGCAGTTGTATAATAGGCAATACTTATAACCGATTAAACTATAATAAACCCATTATCTAGTAAATGCTTTATGTTATTAGTAGGGGGCATATTAATAAAAGTAGTCAGATCAAAGGCTTGCTTTGTGAACCATCAGTATGTTCCCTTCCATAATCTAAAATCACGAAAGCATTTTAAAGAAAAGTTGCTCCAGAAACTCACTGATTAAAAGACTGTCCATCAAATTAAAACTTAGCTTTCTTACTTGGAATCCGCGAAGCCATGGAGGTACACCCTGCATGTTGTCAGTGGGCCGTGCTTTGCCCGGTTCGCCAAGAATATCTATAACGAACATCAGAATCCGAGCATTAGTTTCTCGGCGCAAACTGGGGATGGCTTTTTTAAACAAAAAGGTACTTGTAAAATCTTTTCCCTGGATTAACTGAAACTGAAGCACACATGTACGTGTATATTTATGCCAGTGTATCCTCAACTTTTACGTACCGATATAGTCGTTCTGACCAAACAAAGCTCTCTTTTCCGTCCACGCGTTTTTAGGTTTGTATGCCTTCAGTGTATTGATGGGCTCTGGTGAATCTTGTAACCTTGGCAAGAATCCGATTTCTGCTATTTTGGTTTCGTAACCGAAACGCCTGAGCTTGCGATTGCCCCTGACGCTCTCGGTCTCGTATTTGTGGAGATCTGTTAGTCTGTAATGCGGAAAACGCACAAAAACTGCGTGACATTCGTTTTTTATGTAAAACAAGCTACAATCTTGAGGTAATGATTCGCATAGAAATATCTATTTGTCACAAAAGTTGCTTGATACGTCAGTGCATTTTTCGTGTAAATTCTAATACCGAGGTAGTAATGTACTCAAATCGTTCTTCTCAACTCCCTCAGCATTTGTTAACTTTTCATGTCGTTTAAAGAGCTCTAGTACAAACAAGGATGTTGATGCGCTCCTTGAAAGTACCTTAAAATAATATTTTTAGCATAGTAACCTTATTCGACAAGGAAATTAGTAAAGAAACTACGATTATTTTATGCTCTTATTTTTATTATCTTATTATATATTGTTATTATCTGAAGATGATTTATGTTCTTGATTGATCGTATGTATGATAGTTGTACTTAGCTAAATGGAAGTATACGGCACATTAGGCAGAACTGAATAAAATTATATACTGCAATATTTATAATCGACCGCTATCGATAGACTGGTATAGAATACGCGTAGAGATAATTTATACTTAAGTTCGAATTCTAGTTCGCCCAATCAGAACAAGACTTGCACGTTTGTTCTCGTCAAAACTATGCCCTTAGCTTTTCGATTTTTAGCTCATTGAAGAGAATAAGTCTAGAGCAGGAGCAAAAGTGCAATAGAAGAAAAAAAAGAGTTAAGTACTCATCGATAAACAGCTGGTGGCCCATAAGTTAAACTCACTTTCTGATTGAATCGTTCACAGTACTAGTGTATATTACATTGACGTCGCAACCAAAACACTGCCTATGTGATCAGTCCTTGTTTCTACTTACACCACAGGCCTACTAATTAAATTGGGGCATACGAGCATACATGAAACGCCAAATTTTTCAATAGGTCTCAAATCATATAGCCACAAAGAAACACCGATCGAAAGGCACTATTAAAAGATAGGAAAAAGTGAATATAAATAAAGGAACAAAGAGTGATTATTGTTATTCCTGTTGTTACTATTTACAAAAATTGACTCTAACTTTGTCGGTTTTACGTGATCGCTTTTCAGACTGAACAGCTTCACCGATGAGCAGATACGCCTCGTGGTGGCGCCTCGCACCAATGTGCTGAAGTTTTTCACTGAAGCTAACATATTTCCTTCCTTTTCGAAAATTTATGTAAGATTCGCCAACCATCGATAATGTCGGATTTCACGCACCGCGCAGATAGTACCGGGTCGGTGTTTGCAGTTCGGTAATTCGAATCTGTCGATGAACGAATTGTTGTTTACTACAAGGAGCACCATGCGGAGAGGGGCGCGTGTTGATCCAAGGCCAAAAGGCGCGCGGGGTAAGCAGGGCTCTGCCTTTTATGGTATTGTTGTTGAAGTTGCAGGGTGTACGGACTCGAAAATGAAAAAAGGATTGGTTTTTACCAGTGTTGCTAATAGCCTATTCAGTCGCGGCCATCGCTTAGCATCTAACAGTGGTTTCTTTGCTAATTCCACACGAAATTATTTAGGTACGGTTTACCTCAGAACGAGTATCTCCATATTTTGTGGCTTTCAGGTGAGCCTTTTATTATAAACCATATTATGTTTGTGAGTTTAAATGCACAAATGGATATTTAAGACCAAATTTCGCTATCTTTCTTGTTTCGTTATTTTACAGTCTTTTAATATGAATACTGTTTCAAATTGGACATTGATGAAAAATGATGGAACTTGACAGGACAAGCCAAAATTTGACCTTAGTGACTTTATTAATTTTTTTAACGACCCGTAACCATCTTCGTAAGAGAAAAGTTGCTCTCAGCTAACTTCAGGAGATAATTGGCCGTTCTCGCGGTTCACTGGTTGGTAATAGGTCAAATCGTAGGGAAGAAAATTGACTAACGTAATTATTGCTCGATATGTTTTCGTGCGGTCGATTTGCATGCTTTTATATTTTCTGCAATATGACAGAGGTTTAAACATAGGTCTCGACCTAGTGTGAATGAGAATTTCAGCGTCCTCATAGCCAAAGAGACGATTTTTGCACATGCTTATCGTTGACGCTGACGTTACCACTCCGAAAACCAACAAATGACTTTCTGACCGTGTAACCGGCTACATAGTGGATCAACTTTTCTCCCAACAAATTTTCTCAAAAATGTAATTTTTGAACTGCACTGAGGCTTGCCGACAAACAAAACCTCGGAATCGACAGTAAGTACACTTCTGAAATGTCTATTTTTGAAGGTTTACACAAGTTAAGCGAAGCGTGCAATTGAACCGAACGCGGCGCCAAAGTAAGACCACAAAACAACCCTACATAAAGAACCGCCTTTTTCCCCTCACAGACCTTCGTCTGTGCGGAACATGTGCGAAAACTCAATGTTTATGGAAAATTTATTTATGAAAAAACAATATGTGCAGGTACTCAAGTAACTTGAGCATTATATATATATATATATATATATATATATATATATATATATATATAATATAATATACAATGATATTTATCGTATGATATCACGGTTATGTGTACGAAATACTATTAGTACTTGCTATATCAAATATTCATACAAATTAAAAAGTATTCCACACCACACACATTGCAGTTGTCATACTTTCAATATATGAGTTGAATAATATGAGCTCTTAGTCTGCAAAGATAATCAAATACTTACACATTATTGTTAATATTTCGTATGAATAAACTGAAGTCTATGCGCCTGAGCCATGATAATCCGGCTTTGCTCTGCGTGCTAGCACCAGCTTATGTCGTTGACCGCTGGTGGGTAGCTAGTAGACTAAATCGTATCATTAATGCGCTTCTTGCGAAGCGCCATGTCCTTATCATTGGCAATGTTTCTTCCAGGACCTCATGGAATTAGTTAGGATCTTGCATGGTTTTGTACTGAACGCCCCTGCACAAATGCTCTTCGTGAAGTTGTACATCTCAAAAACTTGTTGAACTTCTTAGTAGTCAACTAATCGAACGAATTTATTTTCTTGAGTCGAGTAACACTCAAGTACTGGAGATATACATATCATATTTACATCTGTAGCAATCTGCCAGAGTTGACTGTGACACTACTAATATATGAAAACTTTTGCAACAACAGCAAGCAATATAAGGTGTTGTGTAAAGTATCTTTTGTTTAAAACAGTAACGCTTTCGACTGATTTTAGTAAAGAGGTGTAATTTGTCTGTTTAATAATAACACTTGTTTAATATAATGCAGTGTACCACAGTTAAAACAAAAAACGTCACAAACTTTTTTTATCAATATGCAAGTCTTAAACTTTATTTCTTAATATACAATAATATTGATAGTAATGTATTGAAATTACTAGATCCTTTCAAGACAAGCTGAATATACTAAAAGGTTATCCAAACTTTAAAACTTTTGTAACTGCTTAAGTCAAGTGTCGAAGCTTATCTTTTATTCAGTATATATAACAGAACAACTTAATGCACAAAAAACATAGTACAATTGATCATGCATGAATATAAGAGAGCCAACAGGCATAAGGCTTCTCAATCGACCGTCTCTTATCACGTTAAACAGCTCAGTAGCAACGGTACTGTTAAAAGCATCAGGCGCAACATATATAGGAGGTGCGACCTGTGCGAGCTGTTTTAATAACTTCGGTCTGCCATTTCCTGTTTTTAATATAATGCACCAGATCGAATCCACATGTAGTAAAAAAAGTAGAGTTCAAATCAATATCAGATGCGAATGCTACTCTTCCCCAACTGCCTGCTCCCTCGCTAAGATCCGAACCAAAAAACACTGACAGATAACCCCCAATGATTAGGGAGCATGGCACGTAACCACTATGCAAAGGGCCTCACACCAAATCCTTGCGGTCTGAACAACGCGAAACGCCACTGATTTCTTAAGGGACGATCAGTAAAGTAGATTCCATTTGGTGCTTTGCCAGACGCCGCTTACTGAGGCAAGCTTCGTGCCGTAAACTTCATTAAATTTCATAGAAAATTGCGCTATTTTGTAGGGCTGCATTTTACAAAGTGAGCGTGCTCCTTGAAGCTGTGCGTTCAGAAAGTAACTAAACCTTTAATTCTGATAATACCGATGTCAGGTAAACTTTACTCGTCATTGTCTACGGTGCACCCACGAGATGGCTAAAGCATGCAGAAGAAACTTGTACTTTATTGCAACAGCTATCTACAGTCGGTATCTGGAGTTCACGTTCTTTGGCTTTTATGGGAGTGCAATCAGACAAACTTAGTATCCTGTGAAGTTAACTTTTTTTTTAGCCCTAGCTAAACACAATCTTCTAGCAAAAACAAGATTCGGTTCCGTGAAATCCAACACTGGCACTAACAATATGCTGGCTCTACACAGCAAAAGAAGCAACAGTCAGTGTAGCTTTTAAACTATTGAGTAGATGGCTTTGACTGACGCACAACAATTATGGTTATATGAATCGTCAAAAATTAACAAAGACACACGAACGTCTATGGTACGTTAAGCACTGCTTCGATTTCGCAAGAAGAAAGATTTTTAATTGAATACAGAAAAAAATCTAATACTAACTGACACAGCCACTGAACATTCCTTTTTAATTCCTTCTAATTTTCCAATGATTTTGCTGCTCACATTCAGGCTAAATACGTAACTATTCGTTACTAAAAAGGGTGATACAGCTTTGCGCGTAAAAACAACCATTTTTAGTTAATAAAAACGCTTTACGCAGAGGATCTTGGTGGCAAGGTAGACTTTACTTTACTTACGGCTAACACAGTTTCAAAAATTTTTGGGAAAGTGCAATAGCAGCTATACACTGCAGTAACATGAAGCGCCGTAGTTGCGCAGTCAAGCAGTCAAGAACCAATTCATTGAAGTTGAATAATTTGAGGTTCACTAAACGAAACGCGCTAGTTGTTTTTAGTATTAAATTAGAGAAATCGCTAAAACAGAGAAAAAAAAAATGTATCGATATCCGAAAGTGTACAACAACAGAAGCCTGCATATATAAGGCACTGTGCCATCGTACGTTGCATACCCACAAACAAGTGCTGAGAGGTTTCAGCTTTATGTCTGCGCATTTACTTCGCACACGTTAATCACCAGTACATACCCCCAACTGACAAATCATCTGAACGGTCAGTTAGCTCTTGAATGCGTAGATTTGGGCCTGGGAAAGTTTCGAAAATATTCAATAGCTTTCAAATTTATATCGCCGTAAAATGTCATAATTGCACGATGATAGCATCCGCCTAATCAACTTATCGAGATCTGATCAGTAACTGGAAGTTCACTAAGGTAAGCAGGCTGCGCCTAAATTGCAGAGGTCGATGAGATATGCGAGCTTTTTTAGAATATAGTCCCAAAAGCTTGTGATTATTTTTATTATCCACAAAAAATATGAGGCCAAATAAAATAGAGGCCTGTGATTTTAAGATAGTTTTCGAATTCCGCATATGCAACATAGCTGTATTTCTGATTTTAACTAATTATCTCAGAAAAATGGTCCTATGAGTAGTTATAGTAATAAAATTAGTACGAGTTAGTTGAAAAATGGGCTTGCCCTAGATACTGTACTAAGTTTACATCACACAATTTAATTCGCATATAAGTACCTAATTTTAACTTTTTGGTTTCTCAATTTTGGCTGAAGTTATTGAATGCCAATAAAGGAAAATGTTTCGGTTCTATTCAAAACGATTATTCGTCTGCTGTGCTACCAAACTAAATAGCGGTCAAAAAAGATTCCATTTACATTAGGACAACATTGGTTCTACGATATAAAATGATGCGGATAATTTTGCAGAACAAATCAATTATTTAGCTTTATTTCCACATTTTTTATTATTCGTTCAAGAAACTGTATCACTGAAGTGCGAACAGACTTTTGTATCACCTCAAATTCAATCATTCGAATAGTGTTAAGTGCAATAAACTATACTTTTTAAGTTGAACACTTTCTTTGGAGATTATGTTGTCTGCCCATCGCCAAAGCTGCCGAGAGATACTACGCTATCTAATGATGTAAGGGAAAATACTTATATTAATCGGTGTTGAACCGCTAAGTAACTATCAGAATTACTCGAAGTCCTTTTATAGCGTCGTTGGTAGTACTGTGTGCTTTTCGGATCGAGTTAGATGTGATAGCCTGTCCTCGTGCTAGGTTAATAGGTAACATTTGTACCTACTAATTTTGGGGACACGTTTCGGTTCAGGTCCGAATCTGGACATAAACACAGTTCGTTTCGCGCTAGAAACCATAAGTGTGAATGAAAGCCGAATGGTGGTGTCGGACGTAAAACTCAAAATTTGGAAATCTGTTAATCGAAATTGCGTTGTCTAAGCAACAACTCAATAACACGGATATAAGGAATATGATATGAAATTGTGTTGAGTGCTTACGTCTAATACTGCTTTAAGTAGTGCTTCAAACAAAATAATAATTTGAGATTTAAATTGCTTTGTCGAAAACAATATAGCCCTCCAACAATATTATTTGCTTGCCTGATTCTGTGTTATTGCTTGATTTCTAGCAACCGTGTAGTAGTGTAATGTACAACTGCAAAATCCACTTGTTTGGTTACTGTAAAAATAATAAACTTCTTTATTTGTCAAATTCGTATAATAATCTTTTCTTAGCGTGTCGTAATTGCATGCGCCAGATTTTTTCATACAACATGGATTCGTTAAGAAGTGGTCTATAGCTCAGAAAAATAATTTTTGGCATAATACAAAGAAAAATTATATGAAAAATAAGAAGCGATTATTTGCACCTTAGTGTTTACGCACCGGTACAAGGGCATAAGCCAAAGGGAAAGTCACGACGATTGGAGCGGTACGACAGATTGCCCACTCATTCTGTACGCCGATTAGCGCGAAAGCAGAAATTGCTCCGCATCCGACATGATGTATACCCGATTGGTCTAAGTATTAGAAACAGCTCCGGTTCATTGTTATCCGAATTCCGCATGATATATAAATTTTGATCAATCCTTAACTGTAAGCCAGAATTTTTTTATGGATTTTGTCTAGATACCTGAATAGGAATCCTGCGTAATGTGGTCTGCTAGAGAACCCCTTAATTCTACGCGAGCCTGGAGAGTAAAGGCAATACAAAAATCCCTTTCTAATCATACAAGTCTCAGTGATGTTAAACATCCGTTTGTCGTTGACCATGAATACACTATTCATTCTAGGTATAGAATGGGAATGGAGGTCCTGATGTCATGCCAATCGCAGAGCAATGATCACGGAAGATACGATTGGGGATACTATTGTTTTGCACCGAGAGTAAAGGAACAAGCGTCTTTGCTAGCGCCCTACGTTTCAGTACCGTTCTTGTTATTGCATTTTCTTTATATGAAGTGTATAGAAGCGCACAGTTGCGAAATCAGAAAAAAAAACTATATTTGAGTCTATACTAGGCAGGTGAAAACAGCGAAATTTCATAATAATTGAGTTGTATTGTTCGCTTTACGCGTCCTTATATATATATATATATACAATCGTTCGAATCAGAAGCGTAAAAATCCATGATTATATACATATATATATATATATATATATAAATAAAAAAGGGATAAAAGATCCTCCTCGAACGATTTACGATACGTCGGAGATTTCCAGTAATAAATGAAGTTATATGCAATCTATTCTATCCCATTGCTTATATTTTGATATCCGGATGGCAATTTGCAGTTGCGCGTACTCTGGTTCGTCGCGCTTATCTCGTGTTAGGTCGTCTTCGCCTCTGAATATTATGTTCGTGCCGTCCGACTCGTGCTTCCTTCTGGCCTTCGATTGATATCGTGTCTGTCTCAAGTTTACTTCAGAGCTTTTCCGCACACTTCTCCTTGCCCCATCTCGGCTTGCGACTGTTTCAACATCTCTTCATTTGAAGTGCGTTACTGCCTTTCCTCATGGGATAAGTTACGCGTCGTGACTTGTGCTATATATCTTCCCGCATCTGGGTCTTTTGCTACCTGTCTTTCTTTCGGTTTATACCTGAATGTGCCTACCTCAGATGACTGTCGCCCTCTAACGATTTTCAGACAAATTGAATGTTCGCGTATGCGCCCGCCCTCCATGCGCCTTTTCGGTTGTCTCTGTTATAGCCGTTAGGCTCGGGGCCGTTCTCAAAGCAAGCAATCTCTGGTGAGTCTGTTTCTCGTGTCTGCCTCTCTTCTCAACCGATTCGCTGTGCTGTTCGTTTTAATGAACCGGCGCAACTCTACTATCGCCGGCGCCACCGTCTCCGCCGACGAGGCCACCCTGAGTCCGCAGCGTTCGCTGGGCGCTCTATGGCGCCCTGTGCTTGCATACAATGTGTGATATGGCTAACATGCGTGCATCTCTTTGACTGCCTACCTTTAAACTTCCCCATATGACTGTGTAAGCGTAATCTGGGTGCTGCACGGCTCAACTGGCTGGCTGGCTGACTGCGTATCATTACCGACGTACAGGCAAACTTCGAACGCCAACTCGTTTCATAGTGGGGTTCGTTCGTTTGTCTCCTCTACCCTGTTTTTCCCTCCCTTTCCGAGCTGCTGCCGTTGCCGAATGGCGTGCTAGTGCCGGATACAGCGACGGTACTAGCCTGTGGTAATGCCGGCCTGTGGTACCAGGACATACGACCGAATGCCCCTCGCCGCCGCCGCCGCGGTGGTCGTCGTCCGCTGAAACTGAGCGTGTAGGTTAGGTGTGCGCCGTTTCTGGGCCCTTTAAAGCAGCATCGCTACGCCCTCTGCGATCCCTTGCACATTGGCTGCATGTGTGTATGCGCGTGTGGCTCATTGTGTCTCTAACTGCCTTCACTAGTAGCTGCGTCTTTATATGTCTGTGTATATGTGCGTGAGACCCTGTCTAACCGGCCGGCTTCGTGCTTTTTGCGACTAGCGTTACCTGTTAACGGCCTGCATCGGCTGTATGTCGCAGCAGCATCAGCGATGCTGATCGCAGAGAGTAAATGAAGACAGGCAACAGCAGTCATTTGAGATTCGGGGCGTCCAATTACAGTTCGTTGCAAGACGACAAGTGCATCAACAAGATCGTAAGCAGGCCAGCGAGTAAGCCACAGAATACCGCATAAGCAATTATTATCTGTTCCGGTTGTGTGGTCGCTTGTTTTTTGCTAAAGCACGCTCCAGTATACCACTTGCTGGCCGTGTAAACGCACTGCATTGCTAGCACCAAACCGTTCGTTGCTTCTTTGCCACCGCGATCAAGCGCCTCTACCGAAAGCTAAAAACGAACGGTCTTTGTTGCGGCGGCCCCGTGACCGTCGTCATCGTCGTCACCGCCGCACCGTCGCCGCCGCCGCCGCCGCTAAGGGGAAAGGGCATACGCAGCACAAACGACAAACATCAGCATCATCAGTCGCCACAGCAGACCACCCCTTTCGGCCGGCGGTAAACAGCTAACTGACCGCTGACCAACGTGTTCTGTGCCTCTGCCCGGATCGCCATTGTCGTGCTCGTCATTTTACTCTGCTATTTCGGCGGAGAGAGCGTCGGCGTCCGCCAGTTGAGGAAGAGTTGAACTTTGTGTGGCCGTTTCGTACGACTGTGCCTGTAGACGTGTGTGCCTGTCCATTTCTCCGACTCTGTCTGGACGTGCTTTGCGTCCCTGTGTGCGCATCTGTGTCTGCGTGTATCTGAGTGCACTTGTGCGTCTGTTTGCGACCGGCAACGCCAGCAGCCAACACGAGCGGAGAAGCGGGCGGCGGCTACCAGCAGCAGCACGATCACAGCAGCTAACGCCAGCTAGCTAGCGGACGGCTGGATAGCGGTAGCAGTAGCAGCAGCAACAGCAGCAGCAGCAGCAGCAGCAGCCGCCGCCGCCGCCGCCGCCGCCGCCGCCGCCGCGGGAGACGGGAGATGAGCAAGCGAGCGAGCGGGCGAGCGAACGAGAGAGCGAGGTGAGCCGAAAACGGATCATCGGACCGACCCAACCGAGCCTGGCCGCGTCGGGCAGCAACAGCATCGGCGCCAGCACCAAAACGACCACGACGTTGATCACCAGAGCGACGGGCAGCAGCAAGCGACGGACATACGACCGACCCTGTCTGCCGTTTGAGCTGCTGCTGCTGCTGCTGCAACGGTGCGAGCGGCTGCATCCCTTCCGAATAGCGACGGAAAGGCGACGGCAGCGGCCAGTAGTAGCGGCTGCCACAGCAGAAGTAAACGAGCAGTCGCTAGCGAAAAAAAAACAACGGAACGAAGGGAAATTAGACTCTGCCACTACTCTGATACTGGAAGTGTCAAATAAAGATAACTGAACAGAGTTGACTCCAGCTCTGACTGTCCTCGAGGAAATAGACGCGCTACAACTACGAGTACTGCCAGCGCTATCCGGGTTGTGGCAGTCCTTATCTGACCAGGAGAACAGGAGAACTCGGCTAGCCAAAAGGGAAACAGAACCGGGCCGGAGAACAAGATGGGAGACAAGGACGATCAGGTATGTAGATTGTTGCAGGTTGTTATCGAGCCCCCGGATGCTTAGAGGTATAGTGTTGGCTAGTGCTGGTGGGGTCGGGTGAATATCCTGTTATCGTCTGGGCGTGACTGTCGGTGTTTGACTATTCGTTCCTATGTGCGATTCGCGTGGATAGCCGAATACGAGTGTAACCATGTTGCTGATCGGTGCTAGTCTTCAGCGTATGAAGGCGTAATGAAGGGACGAATCTGAAGCATCTAAACGGTTTTCTCCAACTAATTCCTGCTGTAGAATAATAATAATATTGATACGAATACCTTGGCGGCCTCTTTGCGGTACGTAAGTCCACTTATCGTGTTCATCGAGCTGATGGTTTCTTAAACGACAGGGAAAAAAAATGAATGATACGGTTTGCTCATAAGCTTGCAGCGCGGAAACAGACAAAAAATGCAGTGATGTTCCTTGCTTTTATTTGACAGTGCGCCTTATCGATCGAATGATTCGTCAATGGTAGCCACCTTCAGTGCGGTTTAGTGAATGCAGTGAAGGAGCACAGGGCACATTGATCGTATTGAGAAAGGTGGCGGCCACCGTTCTCTTGACTGGCTCCTCGGAGCCACTGACGAGGGCCCATGAGCAGGACCGTTGCGGTCCACGCCCTTGCGTGCCTGGTATACGATGCAATACACAGTATACGATACTCGGCCGCCGCCAGAAGTCTGCCATGGCAGAGATCCATCTAGGTGTCCGTCAATTTGCAATTCATGGGGAACGATTTCCTTCGGGGGTGAGGCCAACCGTGAGTGCCGTGTAGAACACTGAGAAATAGAGTTTGTGCGCTCCAGAAAATGTTTGCAACGAACTCGTGTGTGCAATACGTAAACTAATATATGGAGTAAGCCTGATAAAGTCGGGATCGTCGACGTTCACCGTCGTTTCCCGAAACTGAGACAGCTCTGTGTATGCTGTAGGGAATGCATGTCATGGTGGAATCGGGCATTTCCGTCAAAGCAAAGCAACAACAATAGTATATTTCCACTCTGCACGAGGCAGGAGTGGATAGGCCGGTCGTCCTTTCGCGGCTGCAAGAGAACCTCAACAGAAATAGTCACGACGACAGAAGCAAGGCGGTAGGCACCATTTGGTCTCCTATGATATGATACGTACAGTAAAGTCCAACCCAAACCTCCTTTGTGGCTGAAATGCTGCCATTACAATTAGCTAACAGTGGAAATCATAAGAAAGAATGACAATATCCTTTCAAAATTACTTTGTTCGTATACTCCTTGCTCCTTTGAGCTGGCGGCACCGAGAGTCGCAGGAGTGGCACAGGTTCCAACAGCATAGGTGCTGCTGTCACTGCTGTTAAAGAATCTAAAAAGTGATTCTGGCGGGGATTGGTTTTCATTAGTCGGCGAACTATAATAATATGTGATTGCAGCTAGGATCGGTAAGCAATTATAAACAACATAGATCTTTGTGCGACGGTCTGTATCAAAACTCAGCTGCCCAAGATACAATAGTGTACTGCTTTGTTGGTTACATTTCATTAAAAAAAAAAATTAAGTCTAATAAACTCTTTGATAGGGCCATGATATCTGCCAAACACTATTCAGATATCCCAAGATGGATTAAAATCTGTTGTTCAAGTTACGCCCTGTGACCTTTCCCCATTTGTATTTTGTTCGCTATAGTACACACTGATTTTTCGAATGTTGTATTTAGCTGTTTGTCTACAGGTATTACTTACGACAGCAGCTAAAAAGAAGTAAGACAGAAGACATATTTTTGAATTTTTGCCCAAAACCTATGGCAGCCATCACGGTATCAAGTTGTGTTGATTTGCTCCACGTCACCTGCTGCTAGATCGAGAAGAGGATGCAGACTCGCAAGCGGCATCGTCTCACTGTGACCTTAAGTCATATTACGTTGTGTTACCGTTACGTCAGTCAACGAACAGCTCTATCTTCTCGTGCTATAACCGTGTTGTTAATATCCCGCCTCCACTAAATCCCGGCGAATTTAGTCAGCTCGTCGGATTCAGTCCCGTGTTTGCTTCACGCTGCGCAGGTATATATGCACATGAACATCAAAAAAGGCAAGAACATCGCAAAATTATCAATTAGCTTTGCTTTCTATACTTGCTGCTACTGCTGCTAGCTGCCAAAACGTTCAGTATTGGCCAGATTCCCACTGCTGCTATAGTACAACGAGCAGCCAGCTAGCCAGCTATATAGCCGGTTCCGTGTCCTCTTTTTGCCCCCTGTGTCCACGATGTCCCCTAGGCGCCGGGTAGTAGCGATGGCGGCGGCTTTAGACGACCTTTCTCCATTCTCGTTTCTCCGGTGACGGTGACCCTGCCGGCTCGGCTGCGCACGCTGTCTTTCTTCCCCAGCCTTTCCACGATCATCTGGAGGCAGCCATTGCAGTAGCAGCAGTAACAGTTGCAGTTATAGGTAATACAGCTCCTCGTGATCTTTTCCAACGTACAACCACTTCTAGGAAAATATAGAAGAAATAAGTGGTAAAACGTCTTTTCACATGGATTGGCCCTTAAATGCGGTAATGCATGAAGCATAGGAATAATAACATTAACCATATTCCAATCGTGTACAGCTAAATCTCGTGCACGGCCTGTGACAAGCAACCTGATAAAGATAAATCAGAAATTTTCCAACTAATGCAATTATGTTGATATTAGTATCGTGGCTGTATTACTGATGATCCTGACCCAATTCCCGGAGACTCATTCAATAAGTCTAATACAACGTATCAATGATAACTGTACCCTTTTACGAAAATGGAAATGGGTACTCAAACACAAAGCAGGCGTCGTCTCCCACGTATGTTTTAACAGACCGTTCGTTTTTTTCGGAGCATCAAGCCTTTTCAACTAACCCTTGTTTGCACTCGGTTCCAAAACGTTATACGGATAGTCTGACACCCAAATCTGCTATGTACCAATTGTTCTGTCTTGGTGCCTGTACGTTTCGTACGATTCGCCTTCTTCAACGAAAGTGATCTCGAGTTTATCTATTTTTGAAGTGGAGTTAAGAGTTGAGATATTATATTTATTATTTATTAAAATTAAATTTTAAAATATAGACGAACAATATAGAAAATAGAAGAAAATTAGGAAAACCAAAAACCAGCATTCTAAGCTAATCATTACTCTGTCTAAAACAACGACAGAGACAGTGTTCCTAGTATGTACTACGTGCTAGGATAGGACTATGTTGATACACACTGGCCGCTCGCTTCTGATACTGCTGTGAACTGCTACTGACGCGGTTTAGTGGCTTGCTAAAATCACTGTTGTTATTGCTTTTAGCTGAGTCACATTTCTAGGCGTTCTAGGGCCGGTGGCAAGTCACTCAGACCCTCCTTGGTGGTTTCTTTGTCCATTCGTGATATATGCCGATCACCGAAAACATGTCTCACGACAGACTAACAGCCCTGGTGCTCAGTATTTACCTAGCCTCTTGACCATTGCTGCTGCTCTATATAATCAATACGGCGATATATCGCAGGTTACCTTTTTTTTTTACCTGACCTGCTGAACGTATTGCCCATTCGGGGCTTTTTCGTGTTCGCGCATGCGCCCGCAAAACAGAAGAATCATGGCACTCGCACTGCTTACAATTTGTGTATATATTTTTTTCTAGATTATGTGAAATAGGCTTCCAGTCGACTTACGGCGCATAATTTTAAGCTTCATTCTGTTTTTTTTCGGTAAAACTTTGTTACAATATGTCTGTATTACGCAACGTGATGTACTATCGACAGATCTGTCAAATTTAACTTCATGTTTCGAGCTGGTTCGGTCTTACACTCATACCCAGTAAAACTCAGGCCCCTTGAACGTGACGCGCTAAGAATCTACTCAGTACGCGACATTTCGACATGTTTGGTGTTTCTGGAGATGGAAAGAAAAGCGATTCAAGACACCTTGATTTCTAGTTAACGTGAACTAAGCGTTTAAAAATAGGGTACGTTTAAATCTAAACAAAACGAGCTCTGCTTCCGTTAGAGGTCAAAACAGTGAAGTCATACACTCAGTTTGGGTTGCTTTTTGTCAACAAATATAATGTATGTACAATGCAAATGGTTGAACAAAAATCAAAATACCCAACCGAAGGCTCTAGCAAAGAAATAGTTCTCTAATCAGTTAGGCGTGACAAATCAAGTCACTTTCGTACCGGAAATAGCTTTGTTAGAACTTTCTATAAAATCTAACTGATAGTGTAAAACGCGCAACCGATAATGGGACACTAATAAAGTACAGACTAAAATTGGTACGGGTCAATAGAGCTATGTAAATAGCTCAACTGTTGCAATAGTCACACGTTTCAGATAAGTATCCAAAGTCGATTATGGCTTCGCAATCACGTCGTACATAAGATTGGCAATAAGTCCAGCCTAAATAAGGGCTACAGTGATAGTTATTTTGTACTTTATTTTTTATTATTATATATTGTAATACTTTATTCAAATCAGGATCAGTATGAGATATTTACCGCTTGACTACGCGCAGCATTGGTCGCTTAACAGAAATAATAAAAGCTCAAAAAATAAAACAAGCTTAAATTTCTATCATATTGCGACCACAGTTTTTCAGTTGCTAAGCTGTGATTCAAAGTAAAAAAAGCGCTAGCAGTAGTCATCCATAATGATTACCATATTTCAGAATAGTGTCATACGAAATCAACTCGTAATTCCACAATTAACGAAAAAGTAAGCATTTTTGCGAAACAATAAGGTTTTTTCTACACAAATCATATGTAACATTTCTCTAAGTGTTGGGGGCTTCGAAAACGCTCAAATATTTCTTATCGATAAATAGATAGATAGATATAGTTCAAGATCGAACTCAATCTTCTCGAAATTATCTATAAAAAATTGAACAAAAATGATCTGATTTTTCGAAGCAGAACCACGTCAAAAACTATGGGACCCCTAAACACTGAAGAGGTTTGCTGGTGGTAATACATGAGTACACGTGCGAGTTATTTGGTAACGCTAAACTGACGACAGTGCCAAACGCTCGTTATATTCGAGCTCGGACCAGAAAATACTTGAAAAATACTATCTATACACTAGCAACGAAGGTGATGCGTTCAAAAATATATTATGAACAAAATATCTATATTGCTGTATTGGCTTGACAGGCACACGCGTGTGCATACTGGGTGTACGGTAGCACGCGTGTGCATACTGGGCGTACGGTAGCACGCTTGTGCATACTGGGCGTACGGTAGCACGCTTGTGCATACTGGGCGTACGGTAGCGGTTACGCTAAGAAAATTAACGTTTAGCTCATTTTTTGGTGTGTTTTGTTACGTAACTATGATTTGCTATAAAACTATGTATACCTATGTATAGCTATGTAAAACTATGTATCGCGAAAACGAAATGTGAGAATTGACTCGACAGTGACTTCCGAGAAAAACATAGTACGCCATACTTCAGCTTCTCTTTATCATTGCACAATTGGTCACGAGTCTTGCAGGCTACCCAGAATCACAACTCAGAAGGGACTATCACCATGAGACTTTCTTTAAACATACTTTGCCAATTCTTTTCTGTTGGCCTGGCGCTTTTCTTGGGTTTGTGCACGCGTATAAATAAAACGCATATATGTATTTTAGTCGGTAAATAAAAGGCTTAATGATAAGGATTTTCGTGATAGCCAAAATCGTCTAGCAAATCGGCTACGACAAGCCCGATACGGTGATAATTACGTTTGATTTCGAGTTCTGAGGCTCGCTATAGTAGAAGCATTATACTTTTTTGCTTGGAACTTATACGGTAGCCGCGAGAGCCGTTTATCGAGCTAACATCCACAAAGTTACGTGTTCAATCTTCAATAAAAGCTCGACGATTTTTTAAACCTATTTGACTACATAATTTCAGCTTACTGCCTACTTGCCTTTATCTAGCGTAGACCATATGTTTGAATTGATCTCGATTTTAGCACAGTATTTGTTGCCCACCGAGAATGTATTGACGCGGAAAAACTGTAGCAGTTACAAAGAAATGTCCCAGGCACAGCTAATAAGTCTGTATCCAGGGTTCAAGCAGGCTGTCTTTATTACTTATAATTCGACGCGAATGTAATTATATAAAAGGCTGGGGACCTTATGTCCAGTTATTCTGTCAAACCAACCAGTATGTGTTAACTACAGGAGGACAATATCACAGTCTAAAGGAATTATCTCCGATAAAAAGCCATGTGACTGTAAAGATGAAAACGACTATATTAGTGCTGAGTTGCGTCATAGTGTGGAAAAGCTTAATAATATAGTAATCTTTGTTTTTGTTAGGAAAAATCACGGTTAACATATTCACGTCCGCTTTCTTTAGCGTTTTAGTATTAGTCTGATTAGCGCTACAAAGTAGCGTGTTCACGGTACTTCAGTATTTTGTTATTAGCAAAGCTGGAGCTTAAGTACACTTTGCTGTTGAATATAATCCTGATTGGAATTAGTTTATGATTAAATTGAAGCCATACGCGCAAATATGTACATGTAACAAAAAATGTCGTGACACATTCGAAATGATACGCTGCTTCTGGCTGTCTCCCGCACGTCTAACAAACCGTTTGCCTTTGATGGACGTGAGTTAATCAATTATGGAAATTTAACCATATAATTATACTATTTTATTAGTGTTTAAGGGTACTTAGGCCGACCAATTTTACGAGTAACAAGGTGCTTCCCATAGCACCGCAGTATGTCCATGACCTCATTGTGCTTCTGCGAGTGACAGTTTGTCTAAGTTTGGGCGCTCCATTCCGACAGAATGACATGCGAGCAGCTCTAACTTCGCCTTCGAATCTAGCAGCTGCACCTCTCCAAGCGGACAGCGTTGGATTAACAATCCATAGCAAGCTGCTAGAATATTAGTTTTTAATCAATCGTAGATAGTCATATATGTATATATATAAAAGTGCGTGCAGGCTTCCACGTACGACAACTTCTCCATCTATATCTGTGCTATTAACTCACCGTTAGAACTATAAAAATCTGTTGTTAGGTTAGTCTCCTGTTTGGACATTGACAGATTCGATTGTATTTTCATCAAAGTGGGTGTAGTAAAAACTTGAAGTCCTCTATTTTTTTTCATTCATTCAGTTTATCTTGTTGTCACATCTTTCGTAAATGCCATTTTAAAGGGACTTAATAAGCTACACGCGCGGCGTAACACACGGGTCATACGTAAACGCTTCCTTTACGCATACGTCATGTCCTTAAACTCTCGCTTCTATCACTGGTAGCAGCAGTTACCTCGAGTATTTCTTACCGCAAAATTCATCTCGCATTGCCTAATGACAACGACAGCCCGAACAGGAACGGGCTATAGTGTATAGCCGACAAGAATAAGCGTCCTGGTCGTTTCCGGCCCAAAATCTGGCGATCGCAGTATCTTTAAGTGTGTTATTGCGGTTAAGGGTTTTGATATTGTTCGTTTGCTGCTGCGCAAAGCCGCGCATTGGCATGTGGAAGCCGGAATGTGACTTTCGAAACCGAGCAAAATCTACTACGATGCAACAATGATTTTTAGTCGCAGTAATAAATAACGTAGTGAAAAATGACTTGAGCACGCCATAGCGGAAATCACAAGAGTTATATCCGATAGGGAATTTACATGTTTATATTAACTGCAAAATTTGACCGTATTGTATTTTGACATGCCTAGCTTATTTCTTATCTCAAATTTTACTTTTTTCATTTAGTAACGACAGCAGCAGCAACACGGGATTGTCAAAGGTAGACTTATCGCCTGTAAATTATCAAGTTTACTGACTGGTCTGCTGCCCCTCCTCCCCCGGTTTATCAGGTCCGTGCGTGCAAGAATTGTCAAAATGCTGGTGTAGTAACTTCAGGCTTCCTAGTCAGCGCCAGCTGGCCAGTTCCCTAGTCACAAAAGCTACTCATTATTTACTCAATCTCGTCTTCACTGGTTTTATCCTACGCACGTGTCATGCTCATCCTACGCCCGCGTCTTGGGTTTGGAGCGGCACACCCCGTGGCGTTACGATTGAATGCATTACGCCGTCAGTATGACTACTACGTACAACCGCCTAGTGAAACGTAGCGTTACAACGTACCTTTTCCTGTCGCCCGAGCGCTGATGTTGATAAAGTCGTCGTTTCCGCCCTGTCATCCCTATCAGTAACTGCAGCGAGCTGTCAGTTTCCAGCGCCGTCGCGGTCGATTTTCTTAGGTATCAAGTGTTGTTTGCCTTCGTCTTGAATAACTCGAAGAAGACGTCGTAAATATAGGACGTCCGCGTGCAAGACAAACGGCAAGAATTGTGACCAACCTAGCTTGGTTGCAACAGCGGGGCGAACAACGCCTAGGAACACCTTAATAGTCATGGCATCCAATGGTCTCGAAAGTTGCATGCCTCGAATGTGAACAGGACGAGTACGACCCGTTAAGTGTCAACCGGTCGTTTTTGCTGGCAAGAAAAACTAGACGCCGCGATTTACCCTTGACTTCTGCGTAATCCCGTCGATTTTAGCCTTTTGTTCTGACTCTGTCACGCAGTGCATTTAGATTTAGTACAACTACCACTACTGCTAGCCCAAGTGATTGTTACTTTTGCTGCTTCTACTAACGATCGAGTATCAATGGTAAATAATCCTTTGTGTGTTTGGTGCTCGATTCATGTTCGATGTTCGATTCTGTCAGTTCACTTTTTCCTGTTCGTTTTCGCTGTTTCTTTCTTTGTCAGCCATTCTCCAACACTTCGCTCCCTGAGCTCTTCTTTTTGTGATAATACTGCCATTGGCGGAGTAATAGCAGCAATAACTGGTAGTCCTTACGGCATCGCGGTGCCCATTCCGAGCTGATACTGGTCAAAGCCAGTTCTAGCAGCATGGCCTTTGCGCGGTTCGGTCCTTGTTGTGGGCTGATTTGTTCCATATTAGCGACAGTTGAGGAAGAATTCTGCGTGGCACACTTTTACTGCTAGATGAAGTATTATAGCTGGCTTACTAGGCAGCCGGCTGACCGTGACCCTGGAGGCTATGCATATGCATAAAGACGCACGTATGTGACATTTTGTGTGGGAGTTTCCAAACAATCCTCGTGACCCTTGAGTATACCTGAACAGCCATTGCAGCCACCATACCAGCACATACTACTAGAGGTAGAGGTAATTGTAGAATCAGGTCAGGACGAACCGATCAGAAGACGAGACGTAATTTCACGTGACGTCCTTCTTGCTCTAGGTTTCGCCGATTGCGTCACGTATACGTGCGATTATTTTAGCAATACAAGTGAATACATTTTGCAGTGTACTTTGGGATGAGCACATCATGTTAGAGCATGTCGTTTAGGGAAATGCTATAGCTGCTGACGCATGAAAAAATGTTCACTACTATTTAACCATTTGAATTTGGACACGAATGAACTGGTCGGTAGATACAACAGGAATTAAAACAAAAAGGAGAAAAGAAGGCACTTTTTTTTCTCTCCTGTCTCGAAGTGGCGATGTACCATAACCGGCCGACGGTTTGCTCAGTCACAAAGGGAGTCACTCTTTATTGGATAGAGGTGACCTTTATCCCCCTGTCTGATTCCTGCCTGCAATAGCGCGTGAACAGAGCATTATCTGCAATTCGCGCTACGGTCAGACGATGTGGGTAAGTTTTGCATCCGCCCGAGATCGACATTGCTCCGCCGATATTTACCTGTTCTCAGAATATAACAACCACGCAGATGTCGATACACTAAGTGGTCTTTGTATAGCATGGCGGCATAGGGTGGACGGTGGAGTGGAAACGCTGTGGCACCCCGCATAATACTAAATTCTGTACTCATAGAAAAGTTTACTCAAACTTCTTTCCTTCAGCGAAAGTCATTTAAGCTGAGTGTCGAAAAGTTGTGCTTAATTACGTCACTGAATGACGTTCCGTTTCTCGCATGCCACTGTATAACTGACGCTGAATAGAAATATGTACAGGAAACTTTCTAATCAGTCAATATTAACAGGAAAACGACAAAAATATAAATAGAAGAAAAGGTCCCACTAGGAGCCCGAACTCACTAGTGTAGGTGGAGCAAAACAAAACAGGATATTCATTCTTTGGGGTTTGTTTACTTCGCTATGACCCTTTCCCTATGCCTATAACTTCCACGCTTTCTACAGACCCCCCTTAGCAATCCCAATTTGCTATTCACTTCTGCCAGACTGTTGTGGAGTTGGGTTTGTAGTGTTCTCCCTACCTTCAGTCTTCCTCTGAATATTTAAGATCGGAAACGCGGGTTGGGCAAATCACGCAGACGTGTGTTATGGGTACGCCCAACGGCGGCAACGGTGGCGTCAGCATATGGCAACAAACCTATGAAAAGCACATAATGTCTATCGACGGTATTAGCGATGTCGCGCGAGCTTCGGTATAGCTCGATATCTGACAGTGTATGGTAATGATGATGTTCCATGTAGGCAATACTGTAGTAGTAATAATGGTAGTTGTCATCGTTGTCGCGAATTGTTGGTGTCGAGTGTCGCCATAGCAACTGCCGGCAACAACGGCTGCTATTCAAACTACTAACCGATGCGTGCTTTCACCAGCTGTACCGGCGCGTGCTGAGCGTAGTCGATTCGTCCGTAAGGTCCGTCTGAAGGTAGGGTTGTTACGCTTGCTCTGTAACAGCAATCGGGCCCGTTGTCGTATGGGAGGTGGGGGATACAAGGAGAACGAAGGGACCTCAGGGGAAAGGGGAATAGTATCTACGCGCTGTCGTGCCACTGTGGAGCCGCTATTGCTTGATCCGCCACCGATGTACATTGTTGTTTCTGCTGTCGTGCGATGGCTGATGCATCGACCGATGTGTCGTCCGTACGAGTGCGTACCGGCGTCGCATCGACGGTACCGCTGTCAGCAACGGCCCGACGGCAACAGCACGCAGCCACCATCGTTGTCGCCGCCGCCGCCGCCGCTTCGGATTGCCCTTTCCGAACGGTGCTCGGTCGTCATGTAGAACGGCCGTTTGCTCGCCTGGTCGGTCGGGGTGCGTTTGAGGCGAGGAGTAGAAAACCGCCGCTGCCGCCGCTTGTGCTGCTACCGCCATCGTTGCTACCGTAACTGTTATAATAGCTATAGAGCTAAACGGCAGAGACGACTCGGCTCACGGCTGAGTTCGGGGCTCGTCGTCGCTTTAGTCGGTCACTTACGACAGCCACTCGCGGTTGAGTGGTTGCGTTACATAGGAGATATCATTGCCGGAGAAAGTGTAGGACAAACGTTAAATTGACAAACGAGCTAAGAGGAAAAAAAAAGTAAAACGTGTAAAGAAAGAGGAGTAAATCAAACAACTGTTTCAGATTAACAGATTCGCGAAGCCTGTAGTCCGTTTAATTTCAAACAGTTCAACAGTGTTGTTATGTGCAGTTGTTGTTCTCGTTGTCAAAAGTCCAGCACCTCGATAGAAATCGCAGAGTGAAACGGCGAACCCAATTAGCGATTAGGCGGAGTCATAACAGGTGCTTAGCAGGAGGTGCAGGCCGTGGTGCGCGAATACGCCATCGCTGAATTTCTCCTGCAAAGAAGACCTTATTGACGTTCTCTAGATTTGACCTTCACTGCTAGTTGTAGCAACGACAACAACAACAACATGGCGCCGCTGAACAGTAATGGGAATCAGGTATGAGTGTGTAACAATAACTAACTGGCATTGAAGTCCTCAACAGAGAAAGTGAGCGTTAAAGACTGCTTGAGAAAATCGTGTCGATCAGGCCAGAAGGGGTGGCTTTAGACCAACCTAATAGCGAATAGCGGTTTGCGACGGTCGACTTTTGAATAAGTGATAGAGAAGCCCTTTGAACGAAATGCTAGAATATAATATTAAAACTAATTAAATAGACAGTAATTTCGTGTATTTAGTGACTATTATCAATATTGACCTTAAACACCTATTGTAATGCACACAGGGTTATAGTGCCGAGGAAGAAAGGATGAAATGTTTATGACAATTGCAGCTTGATAACCCCAGTGGATACATCAAAGGGCTAATGACATTTCATTTTTTTCTATGACGAAGTCTAAGTTCTACTATCTAGAAATAGTTTGTGGTTTTAGCTGACGATGATAGTGTTAATTTCGAGAATTGGTCTGGAGCGCAACGATAAAATTCGAAGTGGCAAGCACAGTAAGTTGCTTAGCGCATGTTTACCTCAACAAATCAGGTTTTAAGTGGAACTATTTAATAACAGTGCGAATTAAGGATACAAGCAAGGGCTACACGTCATATTGACTCACCAATTTCAGTGCACTTGGACGCACATTGCTTGTAGCCTATGCCGTCCTACACGTCTATGGCGACTCTGGTTGATACTTAGGTCAAACCATTATGAGATTTAGTCATATTTTTATTATTATCATTACTTAACATTCTTACATGTTTTTGTTTTTTAACTTTAGTCTTTTGTACGATGCCTATAGTTATGTCTGTTGAATCCTGAACAGCAACGATAGGGTTACTTACTCAAATTCTGCTTCAGCGATAAATTGATATGGCCAACTCCATTACTTGAATTATAGTAAAAGCTTCCACTGTAACTGCCCATGTGACAGCTTTAGCCCTAAGCATTTTGACCAGAAAACAAGTTTGAGGAAATTGCCGGAAAATATGTTTCTGACATTCCTGCTTCAAAGTTGTTACCCCCCCCCCCCCCATGGGATAGTATGGCCACGCCATTGTCGGTAGCATCTGAGCAGCCCAAGCAATAAGAGGTCGGCTTCAGTTGATCGATTCGTAAAAGGTAATATCGTACCATTCTATTGTAGTTGATCATCCCAAAAGCTCTTCTAGTTATGAATTCTAATGTGTGAAAGTTTGACTGCATTATACACCTAAAAATCACCATTAATTTGAAGTGCAGCTGCTTTTTTTGGACTTGTTGGCATACCAACCGGATGGCTTAATGGGACCGTAACTATGCTGCGTGTTACTTCTCGGAATAATAGTTATAGAATAAGATATATCTATCTTCGTTGTTGGATCGTGTTGACGGTCAGTTGGGTATTGGATGATGGTGTAATTAAGTTCGTCCATCATAACGGATAGTTACCGAATACTAGACCGGTCGTCATGCCTCTGTTGCTGAGTCGGCTACATGTCTAGTAGTCCCTTGCAGACTGTTTGTTCATGTGCGTTTATCGCATAGGCTGTCTGTCTATTCAGTGGCGATAATGGCTATGCTGCCGGCGTCACTGCGTGAACCGATATAGCGGTAGCTCACAGCTCCGTGACTTTGAGACGTCCTCTAGTGGCGCTCAAGTACTCGATACAAGTACACAGGGACACGGACGCTACAAAGTCCGGGCCGTCTACTTGCAGGGCAGAGTACTTGTAGTAAAGTGGAAAGAGTGTAGAAAGGATGGAAATCAAAGCAGCGAATTGTT